AAACCATCCTGTCAAAATCAATTACTATTTAATCTAATAAAGGATTGACAAACCAAGTTTATTTTCACTATTCCAATTTTGTTGATGCAACCAAGGTTATAGAGATCCCATTCCAACTTATCATCAAAAGACAGTAGTCATCATATAAGCAAAATATTCAAAATTTCACTGTTGGTGGGTTTCAAACTTTACCTACCAACTTGCCACTTGGGGTGCGACAACTTAACTACTTCACTAAGTTGCCACACCTTTTTGCTTTATCTTAGTAGTGTTTACATAATAAAATTTTAAGATTTTTAAAAAAATAAAACTTTGAACAAATATGCTATATCTCTTTGTAAAAGGGTTTAAGAGATATAATAAAGGGCTGCCTATATGTAAAATCTTGTATAGAACAAGTTTACTTAGACAGCCAACTGTAGTTTACTTAGTAAAATTTTGCAAAAATGCAGATTGTTTGTAAAGAAAATTTGGTATAAGGATCATAGAAAAGAGTTATATAATCAGCCCTTGTTTGATAAGCATTATAAAATTTTTCAATCATAAAGTTTTAGAGTTTTGAACTTTGAAAGAGATTTCAAAAGGAATTTCAGGTTTCGGAAGAGGTTTTGGATTTTGGGTAAAATTTTGGGTTTTGGGTGAGGTTTCGGAAACTATAATCCAAAACCCGAAACTTTCAGATTTGACAAAAAAGATTTTAGTAACCAACACTAATACAAACCCAAATTAAATTATATAGATAGATAGATATCGAATTAGAATAGTGAAAATAAACTTGGTATGTCAATCCTTTATTAGATTAAATAGTAATTGATTTTGACAGGATGGTTTTGGAAAATTTAACAATATATAATGCATTATTTTTAAGAAAAGTTCTATGTTTTATATTTATGTTTATATGGCTTAGAAAAATCGATAATAAAAATTCAAAAGCTTCTCTCCAAACTGTATCTAAATATAAAGTGATCTGATATGAACTAACATTGCAGGAGCAAATAATTGAACCTAGCTGTCACACCAAAATTTTACAGATGATTCTTGATTTTGATTGGCTATGAGCAACAATTAATAATTTAGGTCAAAATTTTACTAATGAAACCACAGTCGCAAATTAAGTGAAAAATATTCCTGGGCTAATTTTATTATTATGCAGGCCTATTTTTCTAAAATTTCAATTTTGGGAATAAAAAAGTTAAAAAGTTAATTCCGGCCAAAAATTATGTAAACAATTATGCAATGTGGGCCAAAATTTTGTAGATCACAGCCGTTAGCCAATCAAAATCAAGGATCATCTGTGAAATTTTGATGCGGCAGCTAGGTTCAATGGGGCAAATAATTGATGATCTTAACTCGATTTAGAAATTCATACAGAGTAGCTCGAAACTTCTTACAATATACTATTAGATGACTTGACTAATCAAAAAAATTTGAAAGTATATACAGTCAAACCTCTCTATAGTCACACCTTTGTGACTAATATAAAGGTATTTTTTATATTGCTATAAATAATTGGTAAAAATAAATTTGCAATTATACTAATTTTGTGATTATAGAGGAGGTAACTATAGAAGGGGCTGACTGTATTTTAGAAAACTGGTCTTTTATAGATCTTCAAAGATCATAATTATAATACCAATAATAATTCTTGATTTAATAATTACAATGAACAAATTTAATCACTTTGTCAAAGTCGTTGGCCTAAATTTTAAATCATATATTATAGAAGAGTAATCGAATACAGTCAAACCTCTCTATAGTCACACCTTTGGGATACAAAAAACCATGATTATAAAGAGGTGTGACTAATATAGAGGTATTTTTTATATAGCTATAAATAATTGGTAAAAATAAATTGCAATTATACTAATTTTGTGATTATAGAGGAGGTGACTATAGAGGGGGTTGACTGTACACGAAACTAATTTGATGATTCTTTAAATGCTAGATTGTTACCCATTAAGACTAAATGTCATAGACTAATATCTATCTTGATGGACAGCAGTGTTTGAAATAAGATTGATTGTGTTAAATTAATAATAATAAAAAAGAAAAACATATGTAGCTTCTTTCCTTACTCAGCATAAAAGATTTATGTGGGACTATTCTTTTTTTTACTATGCCTTGATAGGTAGATTGTCTACAGACCCGGGGAGGTTTAATAACGTAGGAAGGGAGTCATTGGATCTCCAAGATTTATAATCACCAGCACTAAGGCTATAGAACGTATTTAGCATATGACCTTTACCTTCATTCCTTGTTTCATTAACAAAAATCTCTCCTTGAAAATGGTCGTTGTTAATATTACTAAGAACACCTATCATAGCAACTGGATCACGTTTATTTGCGTAGTGTTCAATGCGTTTGATCAGGCCATTAGGGTTTATGAATTCCCTAGAAGCATTAGCGAATGTGTATACCTCAAGTTTTTTAAGGAGATGTAACTCATTTGTAAAACTCAACTCCATATATAATTTTTTCATAACTAAATTTGCTATGACTGCACCTTCAGAATGTGCAATCAACCGAACAATATCAATTGTTTCATTCTTAAGTGCCGGAAGAATATTTTGTGTAGCAAAATGCACCTGCATGACATTAATATCAAAACTTCTCATAAAGATTGTTTCTACAAAGTCCCAGAGAATACCAAAACTTTCATTATGAATTCCTGTAACACTCCTATCAAAACGTTTTTCCAGATATTTGCAATTTTCATCTAACCACCCGCTATCTACTAGCACACCATTTATGAAAAACCATTTCTCATTAGCGTATTTATCCCCCGTTTTTAATGTAGGTTGACGAATTTTCGGGACACTGATAGTTCTCAATGCCATAAGAGGATAGAATAAAGCGATTGGAAGTGTAATAATAAACAAAATAACCTGAGTTAATAGACCGATCCAGTTACTCAAATATAGCATATTAAGTTCACTTTTTGGTTCATCATCCTTTACGAAGGAAAAGCGAAGTGCAAGAATACGTTACGGAGAATGAACTCTACTATGACATCATATAAATGAGAAAAGACCCAGAAAACATCATCATACAAATATCTCCAAGGGTTCTCGAAGTTGCTAGTTCCAAGATTCTTACATACCATTTTGATGGAAAATCCTTTCATACTTGGAAAAATTTGCTAACTTTATAAGTGAATAGAAATGAAACGTATTTAAATGGTTTAGCATTACGGTGATCAAAATATTTGGTGTTGTTTTGTAGTACGATTTTAGTTCAATTGCGTTATTTGTATTTAGATAATTCGTATGGTATGTACAATCATTATATATGGTGGTCCATAAATTACAATCACGTCGTACATACGTAAGTACGTACGTACGTACGTACGTACAGTGCAAGAACTAAAGACCACAATCTCCTTATGTACTTGTATTTCCTAAATTATTCCATAATTTCCTTATGTATCTGTATTTACTAGATTATTAGTGTATAAGTTAGGGATGTTACGGTCCGTCCCAGTCCGGTCTTAGTCCCAAAGACCGGTCCTAGCAGAGGACCGGGGACTGGACCGCGGTCCAGGACTGGTCTATAACCAGGTCCATAACCCGGTCTATTGGCTGGTTTTCAAAGTAGGCTATATGGTTTTTAATGATCACTACATATAAAAAGACAAATTAATCATGTTGGCACTTCCAAGTTATATGTATATATTTGAAAAGTACAAATTTTATATCGATATCGGTTGTAACATCATTTGACATATAAATTTTTGTTTTTATTTTTATATTTAAAAATTACCTAAAATTCGGTATCTTATTTCAGATTTTTGATTTACAGCTATCATCGTGGATCCTGGGACAATTGAAAAATTTGCCAATGACCCAATCGACAAGTTACTGAGAAAAATCAATAAGTTACTGAATTAGGCGATATCAGAAACTTATAAATTTGGCATCGAAAAATTTTTTTCTCTTTTTAGCCAATGAGATCATTCTATAAGCTAAGGACCGGTCTGGACCCAGTCCTCAATTTAGGACCGAGAACTGGCTAGACCGGTTCAAAAGACAGGTCCGGACCACGGTCTTGCAGGACCGTAACATCCCTAGTCTGGTAGGTAACCAAGAGACACTCCAGCTTTAACAAGAATGTTGATTGCCAATTTTTTTAATAAAGGTAGTCTGGGTCTATATAATAAGTTCACGAACTATTTGAGCCAGCTTAGTTATAAAAAAAGCTGTGCAAGGGCGGTGCCAAGACTTGTTTAAGGGTGCATTCAAAAATATATTAAGTGTGTGAAAAAAAATAATTTAGTATTAGATTGTCTTTACTAGTAAGCTAGTTTTTTGATCCTTTAATCATTCGAGAATATTGTAGGGCATTAGTATTAAAGAGAAACGGTCAGTACGATGAATTTCAAAAGGAAACAATAAATTTACCTGGGTGGATATTTATTAAAAGGTTAAATATTTCATTTAAAAATACTTATTATCCTATTTATATTGGAAATTTTTTTAAAGAAAACGCTTAATAGAAGCTTAAAGAGAGTCAGGTACGATTTGGTTGTTCGAATAGATGGCGATTTCAGGTGCATAGACCATGTAATTGAAGCGTTTTCCAAAAAAAAAAATATATCCCAAAATAATTGCTTAACCATTTAATAACTCTAATTCAAAAAATTATAGAATACTGTTAAGGGAAGTGTTAAAAAATCGTAGTGAAAAAATCAAGTAAATTAGATAATTTTTGGATTTTTTGGAATTTTTTTCCAAAAAATTATTTTTAGCGAATTTGTTGAATCTACTTAGTGTTTGCAATCGATCCAAATTCATCAACTAGACTAAGTCGATATTTAAAAATTGGATTAGCCAGACTAAGTTGTAGTTGATCACCCTAATTGGTTAATTAAAAGCACGTGATTTAAAATAGATATGATTGGTTAATTATTCATTGAATCTGGCACTACGTTGTGACGGGCTCTGTGTCGATGGTTTCACTATATTTTTTATATATATACAATTATTTTATTTCTATTTTATTATTAGTTATACAGTATATATTATCAAATTGTTTTCTTTTCTTAGAAAAATCTAGTCAGTACTTGTTAGAAAATTAGTAGGTAAAAGAATCCTTACTATAATGGTAAAATCTAATTTTGTGAATTTTGTGAATTTTGAATTTTATGAATTTCATGGATTTCATAGCTTTAGTAAATTGTGGCTTTATATCTAATTAATTTATGTTATATAGAGTAATGATATAAAACTATAAAAGAGGTGATCATTCAACTTGAAAATAAAACAAATCAGTGGAGTTCAAAGTTTTAAGTCAAAGAAATCAGAGTATTTGACTTACCATTAACCTAATAGTACAAAATTCTGGAGAGTTCAATGTTTCAAGTTAAAGAAACTAGAGTACTTAACTTGTGATTTACTTTTGTAGTGTAAAACTCTAGAAGTATGAAACTTCAAAAGTTCATCAGTAGAAGAGTTTGGTTTTACTAATTTCCTCTGCTAAATAAAATCTGAAATAACAATTGGAAGTGACCAGATCCATAATTCTAAATAAGAAGATTTGTACATAATCAAGAGCTCTAATTTGACACTATCACTAAGAACCAATTCATCCTGGTTATTTAGACCAAGTCTTTTTACATTTCAATTGAAGCCTTACCAATAATGGGGTTTGATTGTATTAGTTGTGATATTCTGGTTAGAGTGGTTTAGTTAGTTTTAGTATTATGTTGTAGTGTGTATTAAGTTATTCAGAACTCAAGGATTATTTTACCTTATATATTTGGTGGTAACTGTGAGATTGAACTTCTCTAATCACCAAAACCTAATGCCTAACAAAATATATAACATAAAAATTATCTATTTTATAAAATAGAAAATGACTAATTGAAAGAAACATCAGTTTGAATATTTAAGGATATTCTCAGAGAAGTTAAAGAAAAAAAGATAAACACTATATACTTTTGTTCCATTAATGAAAAAGAATATTATGCCCAAATTTTCTATAGTAAGCCCAAGCAATTTACCTGAAAACTATTAAAAGAAGAAAACAAAGTGATCCTGAAAGATTGATATGAAGATAAATAGAAAAGTGAACTGATTTTGAATGACCTCATATATTAATACATTTATCCCTTAAACACTAATCTGATAACCATAAATACTATAAGACCGAGCCAACAAGTCTAAGAAATTTATATAGCCAATATAGTTGGGAGAGAGCCAGAAAACATGTATTTTTTATTTTAACAAAATTACTCCCTCCTCTCTAGGTTTTTTATCTTTTAGATTTTTCTATATATAGACATGTTTTTTGAAAAGACCCCTTCTTCCAAAAAAATACGTGTTTTTTGGCCCTCCCCTTGCAAGCTCGAAAGATAAGAATAACCAACTTAAAGCATCCATCTATTATCAAAAGTCTGCAGAGATAAACCATGCCAACAAAGCAATTAAACTTGGCCTTAACAGTAAAGTGGAGATTGAAACCGATGAAATCGACAAAAGGAGCAATAAGTTTTCTAACAAAGAAACTCTGCTTAAACCCTCAAAAAGTATAGTCAGAAAAGATAAATATGAAATTACTGTTAATTGCCAGGAGTCTTGTAAGAAAAGATCTACTAGTAGAATATGTGATGTTGATAATAGCTATCAAGATGGAATTAGTGCTAAAAAAGATAGTAATAAATCGTTTAGTTATTATCAAAAACTAGATAATATTACTTATAAATATATTGACTTGGGCAGTGCCAATGGAATATATAATCTCAGGTATCATTATGAAGATAGAGCTAGAAATGTTAGTAAATATTACTGAAATAGAAAATGAAATATAATAGATATGCACAAGGCATATCCCAATTATCAAAAACTAGCAAATAAAATGAAAATTTTAACTAAGCCTTATAATATTGCTCATAGAATCATTGGTAACTACAATTGAAATAAGATAGAAGTTGAAAGCATAAAATCAATGATATTGATGAAACAAATAATAAATATGCTAATAAAAGTTTCTGTTTAAATTCTTTAAAAGTGTACTTGAACAGGATAAACATAAAGCCTACATTCTTTGCCTGAAATCATATAAGTTATATTCTAATAAAATCAGCTTTGAAAAAGACAAAAATCATACGTTTGAATAATATTTGACAAATGCCAAAAGTAAAAATCCTTGTAAAGATGAAATGCAAATTACTATATATAAAGAGAAGAGAAGTTAAAAGTATACTTATCAAAGTAATAGAATATGACAAATTTAGTAAGCAATAGTGACATAATATAAAGTATAATAAAACAATAATACAATATAAAAATTTATTTCATATTTATACTCACCCAATGATTGGAATCACCTCAGCCCAGGTATAAATTTTCATAACGCCATTTATCTTCACTTTTTCTATGGATACAATTTAGCAGTAAATAATTCTCATGAACTATCACTATTATGCGACAGAGTTACTGATAAGGCATAGCAAGAAAGAAATTTGGAATCAAATCTAAAACTAAAGAGAAAATTGTTAGTAGTGAATATGTATGCAAATCATACAAAGCTTGGTGTAATAAGTACAGTATGAAAAAGTATAAAAAAATAAAAAATATATATATATAAATAAATTTTTAAATAATCTAGTTAAAAATAGTTAAGAAAAGAACTCAACAAAGTATGAATATTAAAGAATAAATCTGATGTTAAACTTAATTCAATTCAGGTTGTTGGTGTATTGAAAGTAAGAAATTATGAAATAGCAATCAGATAGAAGGAAATATATTAATACTCATGTAGAAAGAGATAAGAAATAAGAGAAACTAGAAGAAAATAGACGTAATGATGAAAAAATAGTTACAACAGTAGTGTATGAGGA